GGAGCGGCCCCTCACGGTCCCCGTCTCTCCCCCAGGCCGGGACTGCCTGGGCTGCGCCAAGACGGGCAGCGGGAAGACGGCGGCCTTTGTGCTGCCCGTGCTGCAGGCGCTCTCCGAGGACCCCTACGGCATCTTCTGCCTCGTGCTGACCCCCACCAGGTACCGAGGGACCCCCGCGGCGGACTGAGCTGCCCCTGCCGCCGGGAACCGCCTCCCTGAGCCGCCCTTCCCTCCCTCCCTCCGCAGGGAACTCGCGCAGCAGATCGCGGAGCAGTTCCGAGTGCTGGGGAAGCCCCTGGGCCTCAAGGACTGTGTGGTCGTGGGCGGCCTCGGTGAGCAATATCCACAATATGTTGTTTTATAATACATAATGTTTTATATTATTATTATCATCATATTATTCTATTTTTATGCATATATACAATATATACATATATACTATATGCAATACCCACAATATGTTGTTTTATAATACATAATGTTTTATATTGCTTACATTATTATATCTTTATACATATGTATATAATATATACAATATATGCATGTACAATATAGATTCTATCTATACAATATCCAAACACACCTGCCCTGTTCCCCACGCAGACATGGTGGCCCAGGCCCTGGAGTTGGCCAGGAAGCCCCACGTGGTGGTGGCCACGCCGGGCCGGTTGGCCGATCACCTGCGCAGCTCCAGCACCTTCAGCCTCAGGAAGCTCAGATTCCTGGTAAGGCCCTTTCTTCCCGAGGGGTTTTTTTTTTGGGGGGATGCCCCGTGGGTGTTCCCAGCTGGCTGAGCGCTGGGGGGGATCCGTTCCCAGGTGCTGGACGAGGCTGACAGGCTGCTGGAGCAGGGCTGTGCCGACTTCACCGCCGACCTGGAGCTCATCCTGGAGCACGTCCCGGCGCGGCGCCAGACCCTGCTGTTCAGTGCCACCCTCACTGCCACCCTCAGCGAGCTCAGGGGCCTGGCTGCCAACGAGCCCTTCTTCTGGGAGGCCCAGTCTGAGTGAGTCCGGAGCAATCCCGTTCCCTCCCTGCTCCTTCTCCCTGGTTTTGCTGTCCCATCCGCTGCTGAGGCACCTCCACTGCTGGGCTCGCTTTGGGGTCCCTGACTGTGGGACACTGAGGGGCTGGAGCGTGTCCAGAGAAGGGAATGGGGCTGGAGCACAAGGAGAAGGGACTGGAGAACTCCTGAGGGAGCTGGGGGGGCTCAGCCTGGAGAAAAGGAGGCTTCAGGGGGGACCTTCTGGCTCTGCAACCCCCTGATGGGAGGGGGGAGCCAAGGGGGGTCGGGCTCTGCTCCCAGGGAACAACAGGACAAGAGGGAATGGCCCCAAGCTGTGCCAGGGGAGGGTCAGGCTGGACATCAGGAGGGGTTTCTCCATGGAAGGGGTGCTCAGGCATTGGAAGGGGCTGCCCAGGGAGGTTTGGAGTCCCCACCCCTGGAGGTGTCTGAGGAAGGCCTGGACGTGGCACTCAGTGCTCTGGGCTGGGGGACAAGGTGGGGGTCAGGCACAGGGTGGGAGGGCTTTTCCAGCCTCAGTGATTGGGGGATTCTGGGATTCCCTTGATCCTCACTTGGTGCTCCCCCCTGGCAGGGTGAGGACGGTGGAGGAGCTGGACCAGCGGTACCTGCTCGTGCCCGAGGCAGTGAAAGATGCCTACCTGGTGCACCTGATCCAGACCTTCCAGGACGAGCACGAGGACTGGTCCATCATCATCTTCACTAAAACCTGCAAGTGAGTGCAGTTGCTCCTTGGGGCTGCTTTGATGTGTCTTCACATCTGGCACAGGTTGCCCAGAGAAGCTGTGGCTGCCCCATCCCTGGCAGTGTCCAAGGCCAGGTCCAGTGGAAGGGTGTTCCTGCCCCTGTCCCAGCTCTGTCCTGAGCCATTTCCTTGGCACATCCTGATTGTTCTTCTGTTTTTCTTTCCTTCAAGGGACTGCCAGGTCTTGAACATGATGCTCAGGAAGTACAACTTCCCTTCTGTAGCTCTGCATTCCATGATGAAACAGGTGAGAGATGGGCAGATCTGGGAGGTGGCTGCTTGTCCAGCTGCATCCCTGAGCTGGGAGACTCCAAGCCCTGCAGCTCCTGTGGATCCAGATCCCTCACAGAGACTTTTCTCTCCACAGAGGCAGCGATTTGCAGCTTTAGCCAAGTTCAAATCCAGCATCTTCAAGATTCTCATTGCCACTGACGTCGCTGCCAGGTACAACATGGGCTCTGTTCCCAAAGGTCACAACCACTGTGGAGTTTGGGCTCAGTTTAGCAAGAGGAGAGCCTTAAATCCCCTACACTTGGGTGGGACAGGGATGTTCACAACACCTCTGAGCTGTGTTTTGGAACCTGTGTGTGTGAAGTAGCTCTGACCGTGTGTGTGTGTTTAGGAGGAAGGTTTCTCTGAGGCTCAGTTTGTTCCCTGGAATTTCTTAACTGCTGGAGAGTTGTGTGAGGAAAGAGTTTGTCCTCCAATCAGCCAATAAAGACCATATTTGTGGAATATGGGGCTGCTGGAGAAAGCAGGGAGCAGGAATTAAACTGCAGACACCCTTGGGATAGTGGAAGGTGTGGGTGGAATCTTTAAGGTCCCTCCCAACCCGAACCGTTCTGGGATTTTATAATTCCATCATGTTAAAGCTGTTTTCTCACCCTCTGCTCTCTTTGCCTGCATTCCAGAGGCTTGGACATTCCCACAGTCCAGGTTGTGATCAATCACAACACTCCAGGCCTGCCCAAAATCTACATCCACCGGGTGGGCCGGACGGCGCGCGCGGGTGAGCGGCACAACTCCCACTGGGATCCCCGGCCCTGGGATCCAGGGAGGGGCTGGGCCCTGGGTGGGGAGGGTCAGGAGGTGTCCCAGCAGCACTGCAGGGTTCTCAGGCAGTGGCAGATCCACTGGGATCCCTGGAATCCTGCCTTAGGATCGCAGTGGTGGATCACGCCGGGTCTGAGCCGCGCCGAGAGCGAACGGAATAAATAAAGACCCCTCTGAGCACCCCTCAGGCTGACTCAGGGGGCTGGGTGGGTTTGGAAGGGGTTGGGTTCATCTCCCTCTGCCTGTCAGCACTCACCTGTCCCTGTTTTTGCACCCTGCAGGCCGGAAGGGAGTTGCCATCACCCTGGTGACACAGTACGACATCCACCTGGTGCACGCCATCGAGCAGGAGATCAGTGAGTGGGGCCTTGGGGCATCCTGCTGGAAGGTGGGATCACACACTGCAGCACTCAGAACCCTGATTTCATCAGCTTTACCATCAAAAAGGTTTCTCTTCCCTGTGTGGCAAAGAGCAGGAGCACCAGAATTCCTGATTCAGCTCCTGAGTGCATCGGGCAGGAGGTTTTTGTCCTCCTGCTGTTTCTCGTGGAGTTCTCTCTGTAATCCCTTTGTCTTCCTTCTTGCCAAGGTGGACAAAAGGAACAGGTTGCTTCAGGTTCAGATTTCCCCGTTTTTTTGGGGGAAGCAGAGCCAATAAATGCAGCATCTTGTGCTGTGGGGAATCGTGGGCAGAGGGGAGGAGTGAACCTGCTGTGGGCTGAAGGGGTTGGAGCGATCAGAGCATCAATTCCCCCCATAGTCAGAGGAGCTGCAGTGGGTTTTTCACTAGTTGAGGATCTGCCCCTGGGGTTTTTTTTAACCAAGCCAATGGTGTGGAAATGTCTCACCCTGGTTCAGAGCTGCAGCTGAAGGAGTTCTCTGTGGAGGAGCAGCACGTGCTGGACATCCTCACCCAAGTGAACGTCACCAGGAGGGAGTGTGAGATTGTGAGTGGAACAAGGAGCCCCTTTGCCCAGGGGGCTGGAGATCCTGGGCAGATCCCTGCAGAAACACTTGGGGGGTGTGTGGGAGGGTTGTTTTGGTTTCTCTTCCCTTGGTTTGCTCTATTATTGCACGTTTTTGCAGCCTTTTTTTGCTGCTGGGTGTTGAAACTGGTACTTTTTGGTGGGCAGGCCCCAGAATGTCCTGGTGACCCTTTGGGGTTGTGCTGCTCCTCCCTGTGTCAGTCACTGACTGCCCTGCTGTGTTTTCCCTTTGCCAGGAGCTGGAGGGGATGGATTTTGATGAGAAGAAAGAAATAAATAAGAGGAAACAGATGATCCTTGAGGGGAAGGTGAGAGCTGGTTTGGTGTCCCTGGTGTGGAAAGGGAAGGTCAGCTCCTCCCTCACTGCTGTGAGATGAGGGCTTACTCCCCTTCTGGGTGCTGAGGGTTTATTTTAAAGGGTATATTAAATATTTTGAGATGAAAAAGTGCCCTGGAGGAGGGTCTGACCTTGGCAGCCCCCTTCAGTCGTGGGTGCCTGCGAAGGGCCGAGGGGCTGCCCCGGGCGTGTCACCGGTGCCCTGCCTTTGCCACGCTGCAGGATCCAGACCTGGAGGCCAAAAGGAAGGCAGAGCTGGCCAAGATCAAGAAGAAGAACAAGGAATGCCGGGAGAAGGTGCA